TATAATATGTATACATTTGGTTCAACTGCCTCTTAGCAGGTTAAAGTTGGAGTAAAGTTCTTAACATTAACCTCCTTACATAAGACTCCTAAAAGGATCTGGACATTTGTTTTCTTTAGAGGTCTTTTGATTGTAATGAACAGAGATTCACTCATATTAGCTGTGGGCTGGGTACCTTAGTCACTCTAATGATATTTGGAGGAACTAAAAGATCCTCAGGGCACATCAAGAATCGTCCTTTCTGGGGCAGCTGAGTGGCTCAGTTGGTTAAGCAAGCATCTGCCTTCAGCTCAGGTCATGATCCTCGGGTCCTGAGATTGAGACCCACATTGGGCTCCTCGCTCAGCTGGGAGCCTGCTTCTCCTTCTCCCTCTGCCTGCTGCTCCCCCTACTTGTGCTCTCTCCCCTTCTCTCTCTCTCTCTCTCTCTCAAATAAAAAAAATAAAACCTTAAAAAATAATCTTTTCTCAATTCTCAAGAGAGGAGTCCTACTGACCCAGCACGTCTTTTTGGAAAAGACTCCCAGTGATAGATTGCTAGCACACCTAGGGATTGGCTGCCTTTGGCAAAGCTGTCCACATGTGGCCAAAAAAGCCACAGTTGGTGATAATGAACACAACCATAAATTATAGAGGATGGCTGATTAGTGTAATACAAGTGTGTGGTTGAAGCAGAGCCACTTAAAAAAAGCTGTGGTAGGTAGGTCATTATGACATCTAGTACAGTGCAGGGTGTGGCCTCCATCTCACTGGCTATACTCCTTGCTACTGTGTGACTTCAGTCAAGTTAATTAACCTATTCGATTTTTAGTTTCCTCAATATTAGTACCACTTAAGGTCATGGTGAAGAGTCAATGAGTTAATTTATGTTAAAGTCCTTAGGCCACTATCTGGCCCTGAAATCATTGGGCAATTTAAGTTGCCCAACATCCTCTTGTGTCACGGAGTCAAAGCTACCTCCTTTTTCATATTACAGTGGTGTCTTTTCTTTAGGTATGATGTCTGTTTAAAGAAGGGTTAGGGCTGCAAAGACAGGCTTTCAAGGCTTTTCAAAACTAACACTAGTCCAAAAAATTTTCACGAAGAATTTCAGACAGCCCATAAATAGGATACACATGCTTTTGTGCATAGACTTGTTTACAGCGATGTACGTAGAAATGTATGATGTAAAACAAAAAGTATAGAATTTTGAGCAGGCATGTCCAATATAATCATACTGTATTAATTATGAGAAAAACATTAAGATTGAAAGAGAGAAAGATAAACGTGTATACTGTCCTTTCATCCAGATATTCTTGTTGGTTTTACTAAGTTAAGGATATGCTGATGGCCCTTAACCAGGAGTCATATGATCGGTGTTGAGATGATGAAACTATGCCTTGTGACATGAGTTTAAACTTCTATTTCCTCTAGTGATGTAGTCCTCGAGGGCCACTGAGGGTTGATTCTCTTGAGGAGAGGGTAAAACAGGCATCAGTTTTGGAGGGGAGGCACTGGTTGCCTCTGTTTAGCTCAAGAAGCATACACTGCTGCTAATTATACAAGAAAAACATGCTAACATTTTACTTTTGAGTCGATTAAACATTTCTGGTACATTACATGTACCATTTTGAGGCTTGTTTCAAATGTCATTCATGTTCAGACATTAAATCAATCAGTTTTTGACTTTTTGGAACAATTCAGCCAATTGATGAAGATTCCAACTTGTTAGCTCTTCCTGTTCATTACTGTTTCCTTTTTATCTCTGTATAATTATCCCTGTATAATTCCACCACATCTTCTAATCATTTGACATCATCCTAAGTCAGTAACTCATTCATTGAGGTTGTCTGTAAAGTCATGGTCACCCACTTGCCTGGCCACCTGAGCACACATTCACTAACTCACTAACGATCAGACTCATCTAAATCACTTACATCTTTTCCTACAGGATTGGGCAAAATGTTCCGGGCATAGTTGCATGCCTACAAGTCATAAATGTATACCTTTTAAATCTTTGTAAAAATCTCTTCATGCACTTTGCTCAACTCCTCTCCAGTAACTGAAACTCTTGTTGCCATGATTGGATGACCATGTAATTCCATTTTTGACCATAGGAATGCTGGGTTTATTGTGGTTGTACCTAAGGGCCAAGTTCAAAATAGCTTCCTTCCTTTTCCTCTTTTTTTCTCCAAAACCATAATACTGTTGCTCAGGTTGGACTCAGGATCAAATAATTGGCTTTCACTTAGAGGGCATATGTTACAAAAAAAAAAAAAAAAAAAAACATGATTCTTAAAACACCAGCTTCCCACTCAGCACAATGAGATATTCACCTTTTGGGACAGTGGCAAAAATGATGCAGCAACAGATTAATGACCTCATTTTGGTTTCACACCAAGGCATTGAGTAGAATGACTGGTAAAGTCACTCGCACTTTTAAATTATCCTCTCCTCCAGGATGAACATATATGGTTAAATTAGGGTAAATATTAGGACTGCCTGCAATTGCCTTTTAGAGATTAAATGGGGAAGGAAGATTTTGTGATGAAGAAAACATTTCTTATGGAAGATCTTTTTAAGTCTTTAAGCATCAACTATATATATTCTCAAAAATGTTTATGAAACCACTGGCTTCCATTTTATATTGTAGTTGAATCTGGAAGCTGACATGGATAAATACTGACATGAATTCAAGTCTTTCTAATTTGTAACAGAGAAAAACATATTTAAATTGTAAGAAAGGCCAGGAAAGAATCTTTCAAATGGGTGAGAATTCTGTGATATCTGAATTATGACTTAAGAAAATTCTATGCCATTTGAGAAGAACAGGATGAAAGTTACTGCAAAGTGCTGTTTTCCTTTAAGTAGATGGATCATTACATCAGTCCACCTAAACTCTTGAAAAATCTCTTATGATTAATCTGCCTGTCAAACAGCTTTCCAACTTAGATCCTCCCCAATTGCATTGTTTCCTCCACGCCTGCACATGTATAGAGAGCATTTATGTTCAAATATAACTTTCTAAAAACAAACTTATAAAGAAAAGGTGTCATAGGCAGAGTTGAAAGGAATAGACCAAGAAAGATGAGAGTTAAATCTTCTCAATTAATAAAAAAGCTTAATCATAGATATTTTATTTATATATCTTTATATACTTATAGATCATCATCCAACTTTTCATTTTTAAAAAATTGTTTTCCACTGGTTTAAATATGCATACCTTCATAATTTAAAAAAATCCCCCCCAAAACCACTTCAACAGGATGTTTTTTCATCATGTCCCTGCTGCTTCCACCCCCATGAAGGAAAGATTTTCAGAGTTACCTGAGAAAAACATCATAACTAATTACATCATTTTTCTTGGTTCCTGCCTGTACCAAGGCTTGCTCAGACATTTCAACCTGTTACCAAAATCCATGACTGATTTCAAAATTTTATTTAGGGCAATAGATACCACTTCTCTATGTGAATATTATGTTTATATTTCCTTGCACAAATTAAATGGCCAAGAAGAAATCTCCTTATGTGCTATAAAAAATATAAAAATAAGATATTTTATTCCTAAAGGAAAATAGTCCACTGAGATGCCTTTGAGGGTGAAAATTACCATGAAAATTTGCTATTTCAAATCAATGGTGAATACTTAAGCTATTTGTTCACACACTAAAGGAAGCTGAGGGTTTTTTAATTTCAAAAATCGATCACATGATATCTATGTAGATTATCGTGTTTCTTTACAGAGTATCATTAACAAGTGTGCTAGTGACTAAAATTTGGACATTACCTTATCTATTCATTTCCTCTATTGCTTATATAAACACTTAAATATTTAATGGCAAAAGTCTTTGATTGTATAGATGTGGAGTGTGTGTGTGTGTGTGTGTGTGTGTGTGTGTGTGTGTTAAGAGACTCAGCAAAGCGAATGGCCCAAAATAATGAAAACTATACTATGCTTCCAAACTACCTATTTTCCCAAGTAAAATATGGTTCTCTAAAATAATGCATTTACATACCTTCAGAATCAAATGTGATAGCTAAAGCTTTCCAGTACTACTCTTAAATATGACCTTTACGTAGTAATACCTGTGTCACTCTTTCCATCCTAAGACCACAAGAACGTTTGGTATAACATTACATAAGCCTGAGAACAGGCACGAGAGAAAATGCTGCCGATAATGAGGTAGAGCTAGATCCCTCCAAAGCTACCACTTCACACACATAGACACACACACATACACACACACACACACACATTCTAAAGTGTCTGAATCATTTGAAATTGTCAATATTTGGCCACGTTCAACCTACGAAAATGATCATTTCACTTTAATTTGTACAGCCTCGGATACACCTACAAAGGCTTAAAAAATGCATCAGAAAATACCCTTGACATTTATTACTCAGAAGTTGATTAGGGTCAACTCCATAGAAAGGAAAGCCTCACCATCACTATTCACTCTGAAAATGTATGCACCTGTGCTCCATCTCTATCAAAACTAAATTGCAAAGAAAAAAAAAAGGATTTTTTTCTTAAGGAAGTTGCACCAACCAAAATAGAATAAATATGCGCTTGGTCTTTGTTCTATCTAGATGTCCATGGCAAGGTATCGATAATGGTTACATCATCAGATTTTTAGCGACCACTGGCTCCAAATATTGCATCTGGGGCTCTCACCAGGAGTCCCCTGACCCAACTGGACAAGCGTGAAAACGTGAAATAAAGGAACAAGGTTAACAAAGGCTGGTCCACGGAAGAGTTTGCAACCATACCGCAATGCCCTGATCACCAAACTCTCCTGTGCATCTGGATGCTTAGACCTGAAAGATTTGCAAATAATGACAACATTCACGCCCGACGTTCCTCCAAGGGAGGAACAGGCTAACACGGAGACAAAACAGAACAAAAAAACGCCTTCCCAGAGCGAAACCTTCATTAGCCCTACTGGCAAGTGTCTAAAGCAAACACGGAAACTGCAAAATAATTACTCAGTCACAAACCAACCCTTTTCGGCACAGTACCTTTTTGTGTCTGCCCCTCTTCCATATTCTCTTCCATGGCTACCTTTCTTCAGTAGACTCGGCTACACGGAATTAATCAAAAGCTCAATTAGATGTTGGAAAAACTGGTGATTTTTTTTCCCTGGGAAGCTCCCCCGGCAGTGGCCCGGGCAGGTCCTGGGAGCTTAGCTAAGGCTCCCTCGCGCCTCTTGTTTGCTTGGAGACAGGCTGTCAAGTGTAATTTCATTCAAATTACTCTTCCGTGAAGATTATCAATTTTTCTTCTCAAAGCTGCCCATTGTGTACCACTGTAAGCAGGTATTCAAGCAAAGGGCCCGAGAATTTTGGGGGGAAATTTGGTCTGAATCCCAGTAGCCGAGACTCTGTGATTCACAAGCCTTGCTTTGCATTTAAAATGGGGAAAAGAAATTGAGGTTTGCATGGAAATGTGGGCTTTAAATTGGAAAGAGGCTGAGCTGTGAACAGATGGAGGGGTGTCCTCCTAACATGAAGCCGACCACCAACCCATGATTCCCCCTCTTTGCCACCAGAGTGGGAAAGCCCGGATTCCTGCCGGTTCTTTATGCTGCAGCGCTGCTTCTCCCCAGTAAGACACCTTGCGAAAATGCCTTTTCCTTTGCCCTCCTCTCTGAGTAGCTAGTTAATTTGATTGAAAAGTGGCAGGAAGGGATGCAATTAAACCATCTCAGGGTTTATCTGGAAGAGGGTGTTATTAACAGAGGTTTTGTAAGCTCCCACGTTTCAGATTTAAAAAGATGTAAAAGTATGGTTTTCAAAAGAATGAGCATACACCTTTAAGCCTGAAAGATATGTTTGAAGTAATTATTTTACTTCAGTGCCAGGAGATCCTTAAAGGAAAGGGAGAAGAACACTGAGTTTTTTTCTTTAAAAAAAAAAAAAAAAAAACACATCTATTGTGATGTCTTTGCAATTTGTCGTTGTGATTTTATTAGCCCAACCAAAACTGCTGATTTTAAACGGGAATCTGATTTTAAATGGGAATTGTTTCAAGGGTCATTATTGGGGAATGAGTAGGATAATAAGAGAGGGAACAGAGTCTAGATAAGGAACAACAGGATAAGCAATTTATAATGGGAATCTGCAGTCTGATTTGGAATGCAAATCACAACCTTGCAGTCTGGCAATCAATTAGCATTTGTACTTCAGCCCGCTGAGCGACAGGGCACAAGCAGAGTCTCAGGACTTCACAAAAGGTATAGTGAGAAAATAAACAGTTTCTCTTTCAAGGGGGCATAAACCCTTCCTGGAGCAGAAGGTATAAAGAAAGGAAGAATCCTGCCTCTGTCTCCACGTCCAAGTAAGCAAGCACATGGAGAAACACGCACACACATGCACACACACACGGATTCTTTACCTTTAATGGAAAATAACTCACATCCTAATTATCCACAGTACAAGCATCTTGCCTCAGAGCATATATTTCACGTACTTTTTAGAAGTGGGTCAAAAACATGTTACGCACCACCTTCAAAATCATTACAAAAGCAACCATGTAAAGGCAAGACAATTCTTGCACAACAATCCACTTTGTTTCTCATGATTTCTCCTAAAAGGATGTTGAGGCTTCTCCCTTCCACAGTCATCTGCTATTTATTTTCTCTATTCAAATGAATTTAACCCACAGGTAAATATAATTCAGATAAATTAAAAAAAAAAAAACCATCTCTTCTGAATGTATTTCAATCTGCATTCAAGGGTTGGTGAGCAAGCTGCTTGCTCAGGGCACAGATTGAAAGAAAGAAACCATGAGGGAAATCAAAGAGCCAAATCATAGCAGCATCTCTGCTCCAACTTATCCCTAGGCTGACATAACCTGGCACACAGTCAAAACAGAATGGAGCATCACTCCTCATTTATATTCCTTCCTCATTTTACACCACAGAAACCATCAGTGAAAAACCATTAATAGTAATAGCAGTGGAAATAATGATGCCTCTTTAAATTTCTAGAGCACTTTACAATCTACAAAACACATTCACACCCATTAACCCATTGGTAAAACAAACAGGAAAAGGATTATTTTCCCCTCATTTCATGTTGAATAAAAACTGAGACTCAAGGAGACCCAGGGACCAAGAAAGTCTTAGAACCCATGTCACAGATCCCTTGTCTCACACTCTGACCCTGGAAGCCTCGTTTCCTGCCCACTCTGTCGTGTGATGAGTGTCTCCAGCATCTTCATGCCTCAGCCTCTGTGCGTGGCTTTCTTCTCCCCCAAGGAGAGAAGTAGAAGAAATGAAAGGGGAATGAAAAGTATTCACTGGGCAAGATGGATGGAAAAATAACTAGACTCTTCCTTCTGGAAGCTTTGCAGCAGATCAACAAGTTCCTTTGATGATCAACATTATCTCTAAAATGGACTTTTCACACAAAAATTGTTAACAAAAGAAGACAATAGCAACTTATTCTGTTTTTTTTTTTTTTTACCAAATGAAGAATGACCCCAAATCCAGTCTAAACAGTCTGGCACACAGACTCCTTCTGGCAATCACCTGTCAATGAAGAAAGATTTTTTTTTATTGTGGTCAAATATATGGGACATAAAACATACTATTTCAATCATGCTTAAGTGTACAGTGCAGTGCTATTAAGTACAGTCACATTTTCTGCAGCCATCACTGCCATCCATCTCCAGAATGTTCTCATATTCCCAAATGGAAACTCAATCCTCACTAAATGTGAATTCCCCATTTCCTTCTCCCCCTCTCTGAAGGCAGGTGAATTGCTGTGGCTGATTGTTGTTTTTAGGATTGTCTTTTAAAGTCCTGACCTCACTTGAACTAAAAATATTTTGAACAAGCAAGTATCTGAACACTAGTTAGAAAAGAGAAGTGGGTGACATTATTGTATTATTCACCATATGAACCCTAAAATATGCTACATGACCCTTAAGAACTAACAACACTGTTTGTTTTAGATTTCCTTTAAGACCTAGAAGATGAAATGACGAGATGCCCCAATCTAATATTCTTTACATTATACCACATTGCATTTATCCCACTATTGTAGTCATTTATTTAAAATATATGGTGTGAGTTCACTAGGTATTTTAAAAACAGGATAATTAAAAAAATAAAAATAAATAAATAAATACAGAATAATTAATGTCAGATATGATCTCCCTTTCAAATATTGTCTCAGAAATATTTATAATGTTTATTACCTTTTCCCTGCATAAGCTAAAAGACACATCAGTCACCAAACCTAAAGCCATTCTGTCCTCACTTCTCTTAAGTCACCTTAGTTTGAAACTGGCTCTTTCTTTAACCCCTCATCTTATCTTTATAAACATTTCCTTATATAAACCAAGAAAATATCCACATATTCTTCTATTATATAATTCAGTCATGACTGTGATACAACGTTCAAAATACAGTCAAGTTAACAGGGTTACAGACGAAACAAGGTGAAGGCTCCAAATACAGCCCCAACTCTAAGAAGTGGCAAAAAATGTTTAAAGTCTTAGAGTTAGATAACAAAACAGATGTGAAACCATGAACCAAGTAGATAGAGACACGGATGTTGTTTAGAACCGCTTTATTTCCTCATGTGTTTTGGATGCAGATCCAACACTATCTTGAAAAGGAAATGTCTCAGTTGGTTTCTTCCTACATTTCAATAAAAAAGAAACTTTTTGGCTGCTGGGCTAAGCTCTAGGTCAGAAACTGATTCACACAAAATTGACCTAAAGAAAATTAAACCACCACAAATACTTGAATGTTTTAAATGTATTATAAAAGTAACATAACATTGGGCAGCCTGGGTGGCTCAGCAGTTTAGCGCCACCTTTAGCCCAGGGCGTGATCCTGGAGACCCAGTATGGAGTCCCATGTCAGGCTCCCTGCATGGAGCCTGCTTCTCCCTCTGCCTGTGTCTCTGCTGCTCTCTCTCTCTCTCTCTCTCTCTCTCTCTCTGTCTCTCATTAATAAATAAATTTTTAAAAATCTTTAAAAAAATAAAATAAAAGTAACATAACATTATTGGGGGTTTTATAACGCAATTGATTCACCGAATGACCATGGTCTTTACAGGTCTTGCTAAACTCAAGTATCATTATTTCTAATCCCTTTCATTAGTTAATTGTACAAATGTTTATTTAGCATTCTTATATACATAGGAACTTGCTATAGGCCAGAGTTACTAACAAAAAAATTCCTGCCCTAATGACATTCACAGTCTAACAACACAAGTCAAAAATCACAACATTATATGACTAGTGATATCTATTTGGGGTTAAAAAAAAAAAAAAGCACAGGTTGCTACATGAGCTTATAGCAAGGATAAACTATCATTTAGTTTTGATAGTCAGGAAATATTTCTTGCCTTCCTAGAAGGTGTAAGCTGATCTGACTTGATACGCAAAGGATGTGATATTCTCCAAGAAAAATAGAAGGGAGTGGAAGAGAACAGGAAAGGTTTTCTAGACAGTTGAAAGTGAATACTCAAAAACTCATAAAGAGAGATAGTCTTGATTGCATGGAATGGACTAACAACTGGCCACATGCGCGGAAAGCCTCTTTTACTGTTTATGGGGCGTCTTATCCTAAAGGTGTTCAGGAGTCTTGTGCTGGAAGCCCCAAGCCTGAGTCTTGATCCCTTGAATTACTGAAGAGGCAGGGAGACACTACAGAAACCAATATTGTGTCCTGGAAGACTGGAGTCTTAATGGGGAGTAGATGAGAAACCCATTATTAGTCACCTCAAGAGATGACCTTTAGGAAGGTCTACTCCACCCTAAGAAAGAGAGAGATCTACTCACCTACCATATCTTAGTTTAAATGAATTGTCCCCTGGCAAAACTTCCCTGACCCAGAGAGCACATGTCATTAAAGAGTTATTCCCCAAAGTTTGCATTTTACATTCATTTTCCCCACTGGCCTGTAAGCCCATAAATCTCACGAGGTCAGAAACTCTATCCATCTCCCACAAGAAAAACACACAGCAAGCTTCCTATAGATATTTGTTGAACTCATGAATGAATAAATGAAATGATATTAATGAATGAATGAATAAATTCATGGCTTAGGATATACTTTCCCTTACATTTAGCAGCTTTCATAAAGTGTTTTACAGTGTGGACACAGTTTACAATAATTCCAATTGTGTTCATATATAACAAATGCCACATCGAAAGAGTTGATGGCAAAGTGATAAAAAGGTATTTCAAAAAGCAAACAGTAAAATAAAAAGACATGTGGAAATTATTAATTGTGTGCCATGTTTCCTTTATGAAGGGAAAGCTATACTGTCATAAGCACTGATTATAATAAGGAGGGACAGTAAAATTCCAAGAATGACACTCCTTAGATCAAAATTACCCTTCCAAAATAGGAATAATCATATATATAAGTATTTATTGGAAACCAAAAAATTGATAAAAATTTTAAAACTTCTGAATAGTTTTTGTCTCTCTCCAAAATTCTAGCAAACCAGAGAAAACTAAAACACTTTTTGGCAATTATGTTTTCCCTG